ATAAAGAACAGCCATAGCCATAGTCACTCTTTCTCTTAATGGTTTCACTGCAAATATGTTTAATCATAAGTGATTTCCATACTAAGCATGAAAATTAGTTTTATTGGGAGAGCAGCAATTGTCACATAAACATAATGTCTTCACATGGACCTAGAGACCTTCCTTATATCTGTAATAAAACTTATACAACACTATGTAGTGTTGGGGATGGCTATGCACAATTATTTATGGACAATTTATTATTATTCATTGACCACTCCCAAAATTCTATTATGTCTTAACCCTCTAAAACGTTCTGAAATTTTCTACAAAGACTGACTGTTGCAGACTATCAAGTGTGATTTGTTCATGAAGAATCACCTGTCGGCTGATACCAGTAAGAAATGTGACCACTTATATTCAGCAGCCCTGAATACTCTTCCAAACCTGATCCACCTAGACAGCCCATAGGACTTGTCACTCATGAGGCTTACACGTAAGCAATTTTAGTACCTTGAATTAAAATGTTTGTATTTGTTAAACCCTTTTGCTTGCTGTCACAGCCATTGAAATTAGTGACTACTGGACCTGTTCAAATGATTACTTACTTAATAAAGTCGCTGACTCTTAATATCTAACAAAGGGAGTTATTAACTGTTCATAACACTCTAATGAGCCACTGCAGGTTCAATCCCCAGATGTGCATATAACTACAGCCATCAAGGGACTGAACTTCTGGACTCAGTTTGGTTTTTGGATACTGTTTCAATGGTACAAAGGGAGGATGGAACATCTGGGCAGGCTATATTCCTCCATATTCCTGCCTAGGTGTATGAATCCAACGTCCTTGTGACCTGTCATGCATACACCATGATCCAGAAGGATGGACAGCTGCTTACTACTAATCATGAAACCATAAACAAGGGAAAGATATTTTTTCCTGTACTGGTCCTGATTTAAAAGACTATATTTGATATATAGCAAAATATCTACAAGGTAGAAACACACTAAAAGAATATTGTTACCATCTTCATGGTAGTATTTAGATACATGAAAAAAGAGAGTTAATTTATGATTAGCTGTACATAATATGGACAGTTAAGAAGACAGAACTTTGGAAAGTAGCATAGAAGGTATTGTCACAGCATGGCATGTCATCATTAGGATTTAATCATTTAGTCCTGTACAAGTTTACTCATTAATTCAAATGGGAATGGACACAGTGACTGGAATATCAGGCTTGTATATATACTCTATTATGAATGTACATAAAGAAGGATATCCAAAATGAGAGAAAACATGAAACACTCTAATGATTTGCATGTTGTCTAAGCTTCAGTCTTCTAACATTACACTACAACACTTTTTAAAATACTTTTAAAATATTAGTTAAAAATAGGAATGACAAACATATCATAGAAAGGCAGATAGGCCTCCAGTCTTGTCCACTTAAAAAAAGCATTTAGTAATGTTTAAGTTTACTGGTTTTAGATATATTTAATTTCAAACATTTTCCAGATAATTTTATACAGGTCACTCACAAATTAAAACCTGCTAGTTCCTTTACATGCATTTTTACACAAATGCATATACAGGATAGTCAGCAGTCTGAATAATCACTAAATGTAATACTTTTCAACAGGATATTTCCTGAGTTTCTAAGTGCTAGCTGAATGTATTTTATGATTACCATTTTAAATATAATTTTACCCTTCACAATGGACAACTCTGAGGAAGTCATTATGACCTATGCTGTGAATTTATTTGACGAGTGGTATCCAAATAAGGTAAAGTCTGTTTGTGTTACTGATTCTAACAACCAGAGGTCTGTTGTTACTATCTACTGAGAACATGAATTCTACTAAACTTTACATATAGTATTTAAACAAAATAATCCAACTACTATCTTAAATACAAGATGTGAAGAAAACCCCATATTTACAGTTTTCTGAGTGATTTTGTTTTCTGATATATAACGTAAATAACTTTATTCACAATATACTCACAGCATTTGACACTTCAGCGTTTTAGAAGTGATTAGCAGGTTACTAAAAGGTGGCATTTCCCTGAGCTAGATGTTCAGGTTTTTGAAAAAACATTTAACTTAGAATGTTAAATTTTCAGGAGATGAAAAGTGGTACTAGTTATGAAGACATAACACAAGAAAAGTCTGTAGTGTCATTTTTCAAGTAACACAAGAAATATCTATTATGTCATTTTCCTATTTCATGCATTTCAAATAAACAAGCCAACACATTTTCCAGTCATCAGATCTATATTATTTTAACAAAGACATTTTAAAATATTAATTAAAGCAGTTTTAGTAAGGCCCTGAAATTCCCTTTTATTACTGTTTTACTAACATGATCACTTTTTATTCATAGAAATGAATGGAGAACATAAGAAAATCTAAGTTCATTACACACACACTGTTGTAAAACCTTGCCATTTTGATTAGTAATCCATGTTGATGCCTTCTCTAAGGCTAATAAGTCAGTGTAGAACCTGTGAAGTTCTTAGTACTCCTTTCAATTACAAAGAGAGTTGATGCTGTTCAGCATTTTGTAATAGCTTTGAATATGTTTCCCATTACCAATATGTGTTTAATGAATGGTGTATACAAATCTCTGATGGTCCATTGTATTTTATAATTTTCTTTTCTTCATCCATATGTATTTCACAAACTTACCTGCTCATAATATTATAAAGTTAATACAAACTGCACTTGTGTTACCAAAAATCTTGAGATGGATTTTGCTTATAGACTTGCATCTCTTAATGTCCACATATATGATCCAAAAAATTGGCCTATTCAAATTCAGTTCAAAATAGCTGTATTTGAGGACCACTTAGGGTATGGTGTGAAAGATACAGTTGTTGATAGGGTGGCCCTAAACCTGGGTTTGAATTAAGAGGGTTTGTTTTTTTAGCTGCTCCTATATTGTTTTTGAGTGAATGACATACACTGTTATTTTACTTGATTATTTACGAAGTCTAGCTGGCAGAACTAAATTAACATATTAACATTTCTACTAAGTAGTTGGTCTTGCTGCAATTCAAAATATTATAAGGAAGCTCAACACTTTTGCATGGGATTTCGTTCTCAATATTAAACTTAAATAAATAATACATATTTACATTTGAAACTCAATATACTGGAGGCAATCTTTCAAAAATACAATAGCTAGTAATTAAATGGGAATCACATTGTAATTGTGATATACAATGCCTGTGCTCATTATTTGTGCCAGCAAATAACTAGAAGAAAATGTACTTTAAATATATAACAATACCCTTAAGAATAAATAAAGAATAGGTTCTCTCATAGATATTCTAGGACAAGCATAATGTTTGTCCTACGGTGTTAAATTCAATTCTCAGAACAATATGCCAGAAGTCAAATTTAAACAAAACACATATCACATTATCATAACTAAGAAGAGAATTTAGCTACTAAGGTACTGCAATTTACAATATTGCCCCAGTCTAAAATTTGGACCCCAATGTGCAAAACATAGTGACAATTTATTCCTGTCCTAAAGAGCTATACAGGTATTCCTTTCTTTCTTTCTTTACTTTATTATTTTTATGTTCCTGTTACATTTTGCTACATAAAACTTCCAATTCCTTTACGAAAGCTACTTGAAGAAGAATTTATCTATCGCAGTGTTACTATAAAATCTTATTAGACTGATTGAATGCTTTGGTTCAAAATAAAAATTTAGTTTCTGAGGCCTGAGGTTAGTAGTGTTGCTTGACTATATAATAAGTAAAAAGATAAACATAATTTGCAGGTTGGTGAGATTAGAATAAATCCTTTTGAAAAGAAAGATATTTATAATTACAATTTACTACTGTATCCACATACTACAATAAAACTCAGTGATCATAGTATTTTTTATTGAGACTTCATTGTAGTGGTAATGGCAATACTGATAAGTCACTGTTGCCAATATAAAGGTATTTTGGTTGTCTTCACAGAGCAAAATCTTAATATATTCTTAAGACTTGAAATGGGTATAATAAAATTCCAGCTAGAAAGAAAACATAAAAAATTAAACAAGATTAATGTTAGGTTGCACAGGTGTCAATTTAAACAGAGTGCATTGATTTAAAATGTTTGGATGATTCTGCCATTCCAAATCACTCAAATGAAAATAAAATTGGCGTCTTATTATTCTAGTTTTGACAGTTTGAAAAAAAAGAGATTAAAATGGTAAAATCCTACTTACGTAGGGCCAGGATATCACCTTTTATCATAAGTATTTGTAATGCATATGTTAGGAAGATTTTTACAGCTACTTTTAATTTGTATGTAATAAGTCATACCAGCTTTGGGGCCATGAGGGTCAGTATATGTACTTTTGATAGTTAAAACTTAGTATTTAATTTAGTCTGTATATCTGTCATGTAAACACTGTATCATCAGCAGCATTTAACAATACTGAAGAAGATAAAACATTTTTATGGGTAAGGAATTTCACCTTACTTAATCATATCTAGCATACCAAACATATCTACTTATTTACATGAAGGACTCTAATGGCTCCCCAGCTTGATGATTCTATTAGGAAAAATGAGAATAAAAACTGTTAGAATAAGAAGTTACATACAAACCAATATTATAAGTAACTATATCTTCATAACACAAAGAAAGAAAGAAAAAAATTGAGTTATAAAGCTCTGTGTTGCTACTCCCAATCACATCTTTTAGAAGCAGAATATAGATCTTCATCCTTAGCTGGTCTGCAAGACTTCTGCTTAGGGTCCTAAGAAAAGTAAGTACTGTGTTCATACATACACTGACACAAGAAAAGGGATAACAAACATTTACACTCTTTTTTTGTTTTTTTGCTTTTTTGTTTGCTTGTCACAAATCATACTGTGACTTAAATGTAGAATCATTACTTGTTGATTATAATAATAAAAATAGGGTGGATACTAAAGTTATTGCCCAGATTATAACAATTTTGAATTACACCCATGTCAGTTGTAGAAAACAGTTATGTCCATGTACTTACTGGAGACGTATGCACTTGATTTATTCTTAATTGATTCTCCAAATCTTGTACCTTATTTTTCAGTTCTATATTTTCTGTTTCTAGTTCTTGAATCTAGAAAATAAACAATTATTGTAATAGCTAGTGAAGGATTTATCCTCTGACAGCCAATCTAAACTACAAAATATGAGTAAGAGATTTATATATTTCAGTTAAATAAATGACCAGAAAGTTGATTATGGTGTTTAAAAATTGATCTGAAAGCCTTAGTTTATTTTTTAATATAACATTTTACGTACTTATTGGTTACAGGATGACACACTGTTTCTTCACAGGATCTTAGTTTTAGTTTGAGTTTCTTACTAATAGTCTTTGGTGTAGTATTACAATATAAGCTTTTATACAAAAAGAGAGAGAGAGAGAATAACTTACTCTTTTCTGTAACCCTGCAATCTGTTTTCTTGTTTCAACATCTTTTCCACCAGATTCCAGAAATTTCCTGTAAGCCAGGTCAAATGCTTGACCAATTGTTAAAGTTATTTCTTCAGCCTTTAGACAGAATAAAATATTAAATTATCACATTAAGAATATTCTATATATCTTTCATTTAAAAGGGTCACAAAGCATTCTACATATTGTATAGTGGACACAGGGATTACTTCACCCACCATTCAAATAAAAGTCAACTCTGAAAAGAAGCATGGCAGCCATTTTGCAGGAGAAAACATATGTAATATTTCCAAGGAAGGTAACTGAAGAATAATTTATGCAAGTATATAGGGGAGACTACAGTAGGCAGAATTTAATTACCAAGTTTCCAATGTAAATCATACTACTTTTAAGTTTTTAAGCAGCATGTATGGATATGGCATGCTGCATTTCTATAACATTTAAGTCCTCAAGTGACTGTTGGCTAATTCTTTCTCTAATTAAATGAATAATTTTAACATTATGGAATGATCGGTTATTTTTCATCACTTATGCAATTAGGTTTCAAAAGCCTTTTCATATAAAATAATTTAGGCCCTCAACTGGCGTATAACAGAACATATGCCTTCATAACAGTATGCCTATGCCTAAATACTGTAGGTCACAAATGTCAGATCATAAAAATCAGTGTATGTATTTTCATACAGGCAAATAAAGTGATACTTTAGTTTCTCTTTCAAGTTTGAGAACTAAATACATGATTTTATTTCCATCCTAATTAAAAATAGTTTTACTTAGGATAACTATTGTCAAAGAAATCATCCAATCCAATATATTCTTTAAATATTTAAAGCTGTGATTCTCAACCGGGTCCTTTTAAAGATGACATGTGGGGGCTGTATAATATTAACACTGTTAGGTGTGGAAACACCTACACATGATTCACAAGATAAATTCATAGTGAACAAAACATTCTGACCTGTTACGGTCTTATCTGAATTCTTTTTAAATGGAAGAGAGAGTTCTTGCTGTTTATTTTTGGTGGTCAAGAAACAAGTGAAAGCTAAGAGCTGGCATTTTTCAAGAGATGACATGAGTCTAATGATGGGTGCTTTGTGTCTAAAAAGGTTGAGAACCACTGAGCTAAAGCTTTAGGAAACGTGGTGAATTATACTGGTCACTAGGGCTGTGTGAAGCTTCAGTAGCCGATTTGATTCAGAGGAGATTTGGCTTCATTCGGTGGACAAATCTCCGAATCTGAATTGAATCAGGAGACCCATTAAAGGGTCCAAATCAAATCCAAAGCCTCTGAATCGATTTGGAAAAGATTCGGAGAGATTCAGGGATTCAGACTGGTGGGGGAGAAGCAGGAACAGCCAGGCGACTGCAGGTTCTCCCATGGCTCCTCTGGCTGTGGCCCCCTCTCCTTGGGCAGGGGAAGCCACAGGAGAAGCTCCCATGGCTGTCCTGCCTGGCCCTTAAAAATAGAAAAAAACCCAGCCCTGCACTGCACTGCACTGCACAGGGGCGAGGGGGGGGGAAGGGCTCTACCATGAGCCCTCAGAGGCCCTGTTCACCACTGCCAGAGCCAGTGAGTTTTTGTTTGTTTTTTTAAATTGCTGGGATGCTGGGGCTGGGCGGGGCAGCCATCAGGGCGGGCTCTAGGAAGTGTGGGATGAATTGCTGTGAGATGGGGTTGTGT